TATATATATGTGTATATATATACACACACGCACAGTGTTTTTTTCTGACAATAAAGAAAGACAAATCCAGCCAGATTTTGAGTGCAATTGTACAAATATTTTAATCATATACTGTTTTGGATTTTTTGTTTTTTTTACACAAAACAGTTTAGTGGTCTGTGGTCCCTAAACATTCCAGGGGACAGCTGTTCACAATTGCAAACAAAAGTTCACAACAATTTACTCAAATGCTAAATGATTATTGTAAGTGTATTACAACCCAAAAATCTGAATATATTGCAGCTAACCATTTCTGACATTTGGCGGTGGTATTAGAATTCTTTTTCTGCTAGTACAAACATTTTTTTGTATCTTGCCAAAATCCCAGTGCACTGAACTATTATAACAAACAAGGTTATTAGTTTTCCCAGCAATCTGCTGTGAACATCAAAACAACCTCCTTATGTAAGCCCTGGTTCACACCTAGGCGGCACCGTTTTTGCACATTTGTACGCACATTAGCAGTATGCTGTTATTTGCGCGTACAAAGAACGCGCGTATAAACACGCAAAATCGCTGACGAAAATGTGCAACATGCTTCTGTTCGTGTTTTTGGGCATTTCCAATTAAGTCTATGGGAAGAAAAAGCGCTTTTAACTGCCCAAAGAAGCTACTGTATCTTTTCAGGCATCTGGCGTTTTCCTGCTAGGCATTTTTCTGCTCAGGGTTGAACCAGGGCCATTGAAAATCATGGGATTTCTTGTGTTGGGCAGTTAAAAACGCTTTTCGAACTGCTCAAAAATTTCTAGGTGTGAACCAGGGGCTAAAGGAGATAAGAAGAGGAGAGGTTTGTAGTTCAAATCAGGAGATTAGTCTAGGGTGACAATGCTGCTCCTCTATTGATACAGTGCAGTAAGTGAACATTGTCACTCTAGGACAGAAAGAGTGATACTAGAAATATCACCAGGTAGAAATATCACCAGGTAAAATAAATGGAAAAAAGCCTGGAAAAGAAAGAGAAAAAAAACAAGAAATCTATTGCAGCCACCAGGTCTGGTAAGCTGCAATATATTACATTTTAGTTTTCCGATTTAGATAAGCTTTAAAACCTTACACTATAATTGAAAAAAGCAGCTATTACTAGACTCGCAGTGCCCACTTTAATAAGTAAATTCACAGTAAACTATGTATTGTGAACATGTAATAAACTTCTATTTTACTGTACATTGTATAGCTAAAACAAACTCATGCTAGTGAACAGCCCATATGGGCTTAGAGCTTAAAAAAGCAATTTATTTTTAATAAAAAAACGATTTATTGATTTGACGTTTAACATATTTTCTCAGTTTAAGATTGGAAACCTATTTCTCTGGGTGCTGAAAAAAAAATGCATTTGTCAGCTTGATGATATAATGCATTTACTAAGACGCTGTATAAAGAGATTATTCCCCAGGCCATACCTAGTCAATGCATAAATCCCAGTTAGAACTCCTAAACTTTTTATCCTTCTCAAACAGCACCATCTAGTGGCAACATGTTTCCTTCACACAACAGACCTTTTAGGCAATGGGTAGCCAATTCTGGCCCTCCAGCTGTGGCTCTACCACAAATCCCATGAGGCATTGCATGATTCTGACAGGCACAGTCATGACTTCACGTGGCAGATGCATGTTGGGATTGACAGTTTCAGCATACCTGGAGGGCCGAAGTTTGGCTACCCCTTTTTTAGGCTATAGACTATAATTGTGATGAAGGATTTCCAGGATTTTATGGCATTTATAATGAAGTAAGGGTTTTATATACTTTGTTGTATGCGCCAACATGACTGTCATGTTGCAATCTAACAATGAGGGTTATTATCCCCCCTGGGGACACACACACCAGAAGCCAGATGTTCTATCCTTTCCTCATTATATCCAAAATTAAAAAAGATTTGGCTTTATAAAGACTTTATTTAAGTGAACTGTATTTCACTGACCTGAGCTGCCAAACATGTTTAGGTTTTTTCTAAACACTTAACAGCACGGGTGGAGGAGTCTCCCTGCCAACTACTGTATTCAAGCAGCCGTGGAAGCACGGAACACAGTCACTGTTCGGCCAACAATTTTTCACCCGGCTCCTTTAAGACTTTTCACTTCACCCAGCTCCTTTGACTTTTCCCTTCACCCAGATCCTTTGACTTTTCACTTCACCCGGCGCCTTTGACTATGTTTGTTGAGCTGGCCGACCCCGAAAGGGCCACCAACAGCTCGAATTTTTACTGATATACAGTAATCGTACAAAATTCAGCAGTGTATGGTCATCTTTAGCGTAAAGTGTATTTCAACTTTTGTAGTCCAGTTTCAGAAAACCTCTTTATATGTTTCCATTGTGTTCCTATTCACACAGCATACCCCAAAAAATAAAAAATAAAATTAATCTTGCCTTTTAAATGTTTTGTTGCAGCATGCAACATGGCTGATTCCAGGTTTTTCCCAGCACCTTCACAGTGATCTATCCTTATAGAAAGACTTAGGACTAAAAGATGAGGATTGTGTTTCTCTCATTAACTTCATTAAAATTTGAACCCAGACTTTTAATCTTTTAACCCCTCACAGCCCCTCCTAACATTATAACGTAGGAGAAGCAATTAGAAATGTAAACCCCTTAACCCTCTATATGTTTGTTATGTGATCCTATTCCCCCAGCATAAAGAAAAATCATTCAAAAAATATATTACTTACCTTGAAGATATTTTGTTAAAGTAGGCAAGATGGCCGATTCCAGTTTTTTCTCATCACCTTCACGGTGATCTGTTCTAATTGAAAGGCTTAGTACTGAAATTTGAGGATTTTGTTTCCTCATTCACTCAATTAACATACAATGGACAAACCACCTCAGACCCCTCACAACCTCTCCTAACATTGCAAAGAAATATAAGCAATTAGAAATGTTAACCATTAAAACCCTAAGCCAAGTAAAAGCAGTTTAAACTGCATTTTTAAAATATTTTCTTTAGCTTACGCTATGTGAATGGATACATGTAACAAATATAAAATAGATGTTATCCCAATTTGGCTGTAAAAGTGGAAATACACATTAGGAAGCCAAGAAAACCTTAAAAGAGAACTATGGGGAAGTGTTTTTCCCCATTGTTCTCTTTAGGGTTACAGGAGGACATATACTAACCTCCTCCTGTGACCCAAAGCTCAGATAGCCCGCGATGCACCGAGGCCGGGACAGAACCCGACAATACTGTTGAGAGCCACCCAGCTGCGTGAGTGACAGCTGGCTATGACTATCTAGAGGCAGAGCCAGCTGTGCCTGCCCCCTCCACTATTCATTCCTCCACTCAGCGCTGGAGGGTCAGAGCGGGGAGGAGGGAATCCCTGCGGGGAGCGGTGACGGACAGTCACCACTCACTGGAGGGAGACGATCGAGTAGTGAGCGGATCGGTGCATGTTTCTGTTCACTTCCCAATCAATAGAGCCGACCTGTGACAGCTTCTTTGTCACATTTGGGCTCTAACTATGAGGATGAGTGGAAATCACTCACCTCATAGTTCTCCTTTGACACAAGTAAAATAAATTTAAACCGCAAGAAGCATGTTTAAATATTTATTTTGGCTTATGCTTTGAGGATGGAAACATGTAATAAACATAAAATAGGTGTTCCCAATCCCAATTTGGCTGCAAAAGTGGAAATACACTTTAAACAAAGGATTAAAAAATAAAGTTCTGTCCAAGCTGTTCAGCGCTTAGAAGTTTCCCACTTTCCAGGGGACCAGAGTAAAGATTCCATATGATTTCACCAGAGGGGCTGCTGTTCAATTGCCGAATGTTCGTGTAATACCGGGTGTTTATTAATTAAAATAAAAAGGCAAAATTTATACTCACAGAAGTCCGTCTGTATAAAACTTGTAAGGTCATGCATACAACTAGAGATCATATGGCACAAAACCGACTGGACTTCAGAGCATCATAGGAAGCAGTGGATAAGTTAGGGATAACGCGTATCAATGGTTAAACCATCTTCATCAGAACCAAAAACATATCTCAAAAAGGATTTAAAAATGTCCTAATTAGGTGCAAGCTTTGTTCCTGAATTAGGCAGATACAATATTATTTAATCTAGTTATGGATTCATTTGAAACCATTGAATGTGTTTTACATGCATCTGGTAGGCATACCCGAATCTCTTTTGATACCCTGTTATCCCCTCTACAGCAGCACTCACATTGGGAGAGGGAGGACCAGCAATGACACCCAACCAGGCTCTACTGCGTTGCACAGTATTGTTCATCTAACACCATCTTCAACTATCTATATGCCTTTACAGTAGGTTCAGAGAAATCGATTTTTTAGTTTTGAGAAATGAAGCAGTGAGTGTTTTGCTATTAACAGAAAATATCTAAATAAAATGCTTGTAATTGTTAGCAATGTTTTGATGCATACTTATCTTGCTACAAAAGAAGAAAAAATTGAGATTTGTTAATTAAAGAAGTTTTTTTTTTTCTCTTCTTCATATTATGCAGAGAAAGTGTGGAAAACCTTATTCAGAAACACTCTTATGCAAGATCTCCAATCCGAACCTACGGAGGAGATGACGATGTCTTGACAGAAGATGGCCAGGTGGTACAGAGCAGAGGTAAGGGAACGTTAACTGTAGCAGTGGGTCTGATTTACTCAAATAGGAGTGGCTGTTAACTGTGCAAAACCAATGTTAGAGAATAAGGTGCAGATGTGTTCACTTTGAATACCAAATTATGTACTAGCAAAACTTTTTTTTCCCCTTTGCACATGGTTTGGTATTCAGAGTAAACACGGTGTCACCTTATCTATACTTTATTAAGTGAACAGCTGGAAAGTTTCATATTTAGGCAGTTCATACATACATACATAAGCAAAAGGGATGCAACCAGTTATTGAGGCTGTGATTGCTGACTCCATTCGGAAAATGCTAGCTGTCTGGCTGTGTCTGGCTTCCATTACTATTCTCTCAGTGAGTGACCCAGAATAAGTATACAGATTAGGAAAGTGAGAATACCTGATCTACATCCATGTTTTAGGTCAGTCACTCAGAAGATACTTAAAGTGATATTTAAGTCAAAATGTTTTTAAACTATTTCAAATGCCGATTAAATCACTGGATGCTGCTCCTTGATGTTTAAAAGTTTTAGCTTCCTGAAAAATCAGCTGCTCTCCTGGGCACTGGCCCTGATATCCTGTCTTAGGGTGGCTCCTTTTCCTTGCAGGGTCCTATGGAGCCACCTTTGTGTGTGCTAGTAAGCTGTATGTGGCTCCACTAGGGATGCACCGATACCGATACTAGTATCGATATCGGTGCCGATACTGAGTATTTGGTCGTGTACTTGTACTCGCCCAAATGCTCCGATGCCTAGCCCGATACTCCCTGTATCAGGAAGTCGGGCAGCGCGTCATTACACGCTGCCCTGCTTCCTGATTGGTCGGGAAGCTAGCCAATCAGGAAGCCGGGCGCCGTGTAATGACGCAGCGCCCGGCATTCTGATTGGCCGGGAAGCCTGCTTCATGCTCCCTTGTCATCTCATGACGAGGGAGCATGGAGCCGACCTCTCGGACAATCAGAAAGCAGGGCGCAGCGTCATTACACGGCGCCCGGCTTCCATGACTGGCCAGCAAGACGGCTCTGGCTGGGTACTGGAGGAAGGCCGCTCCTGGCTGGTGAGACCCCGGGGGTGACAGGCTGGACATGCTGAGGTGAGAGGGGACAGACTTTCTTGTTAATCGGGAAGCCGGGTGGCGAGTCTTTAAACGCTGCCCGGCTTCCCGACTAATCAGGAAGCCAGGTGGCGAGTCATTACACGCCACCTGACTTCCTAAATGAGACTTCCAGTACTCAGTAATTGGTATTGGCGAGTACCGAAAAAAAATGATCAGTACTCGTACTCGGTACCAAAATAGCGGTATCGGTGCATCCCTAGTCTCCACAAACACACAGGCACAGCCATTTCCCCGCTTCTGCCTTCCTCCCTTCTCCAAGCTAGTAGATAGATGGCTGCTGTAGACTGTGCTGTTCCTTGTGCTCTTTACTGGACAGGGAGTTCAGGAAATGGAGCAGGATGAGTTGCAGCCGGCTGTTTGCAAACCTGTGCTTTGGGCAAGAATGTAAAGAAAAACTTTGCTGGACAGTGTATGTTTGTTTGATAGGATTCCTTATTGAAAAAAAGTTTGAGAGTTTAATATTACTGTAAGCCATCCAGCCAGGATGCCAACCAGAAGCTAGCATTTCCAGGTCAGCAATGACATTTGGGCTATACTCGTCTTATACGACGAGTATAGCCCAAAACCTATATTTTTACACAAAAAGTGGGGGGTCGTCTTATACGCCCAGCCGTCTTATACGCCGGCAAATACGGTACTTTCTCAATAATGGTTACCTTAACATGTACTTTAGGTAATAATAAGCTGGTTTGTGATACAGGACTGCTCATTATTGATACTAGAGAATTGTGAAGGATTCTTTCTTTTATCAAACACCAAAAAGAGCAAACCTGTGCATGAACTGAATGTACAGGTGAAACTCGAAAAATTAGAATATCGTGCAAAAGTTCATTTATTTCACTAATGCAACTTAAAAGGTGAAACTAATATATGAGATAAACTCATTACATGCAAAGCAAGATAGTTCAAGCCGTGATTTGTCATAATTCTGATGATTATGGCTTACAGCTCATGAAAACCCAGATCTACAATTTCAGAAAATTTTTGGCAGTGTGGGCAGGTGCCAAGTCCTACTGGAAAATGAAGTCAGCATCCCCATAGAGCTCGTCTGCGGAAGAAAGCATGAAGTGCTCCAAAATCTCCTGGTAGACGGCTAAGTTGCATTAGTGAAATAAATGAACTTTTGCACAATATTCTAATTTTCCGAGTTTCACCTGTATATCTAAACCCTACTGTATCTATGGGGGGAGCCATGGTTGTCACCCAGGCTGGACTTTATACATGTCTGCCTTTAGTCATATCCATTACACAGTAAATGGAAACATTAGTCATTTACAGAGGAAGACAAGGTTTCTTTTTTATTTTGTTCAGCTCACAGGAAGTAACAGGGATACTGCATTTCTGAGAAGATCAACAGGAATGTTCTGTACTTGCTAAAAACGAATGCAGTCAGCACATCTGAGTACTGGAAAGCTGCAATATATAAAATTTTTGTTCTTTGATTAAGGCCTGGTTCACATCAAGGCATTTTATCGTGCAGATTCAGTCGTGTGATAATGCGCAAAACACAAAAACCCATACAAGTCAATGGCGACAGTTCACACCTTAGCAGTGCGATATCGCCCGTCGTGCAAACAGATGCAGGAGCTATTTTCGGGCTGATGCCACGTGGGTTAGGTCCCATAGACATCTCTATGCACTGAGATGTCAATATCGCAAATTATGCAAAAAAAATAAAAGCATGACAAATGCGCGAAAATGGCTCAACCATTGCAATTGCCTAGGTGTGAACCAGGCCTTAGTTTTCATTTCAGGCAAATCAGGTCAAAGTGTAGAGGCAGATAAGAGATAACAGTAGGTACTTTCCTTATCTCCTGTTACTATTTTTACAGGTATTATACAGCACTGTCAATGCATGCACTGCTTTACATATTGTACACTCAGATTGGTCTCTTCCCCACAGGAGCTTACAATCTAAGGTCCCTATCTAACATACATACTGGGGTCAATTAGTCTACCAGCATGTGTTTGGAGTGAGGGTGGAAATGGAAGTACCTGGGGGAAACCAACAAAAGTACAGCGAGAACATGCAGACTCCATGTAGATAGTGTCCTGGCCAAACTTTCAAACCAAGGACCTCAGTACTGCAAAGCTAGCCATACATGCTACAAGAGAAAATCACTTGGTTCCTCCATCCACGCTACACAGTGAGGATGGATGACTCTCCCCTGCCAGCTATTGTATTCAGACAGCCCCTGGCACCCAGAGTTATTTAAATAGCCTAACAGTGACTGCATCTGATAGGGTGCAGCCACTTTTCGGGTAAGAATTTTGCACCTGGCTCTGTCAATGTTTAATGAGCTAGGTGGTGATGAAAAGGCCACCCATGGCTTGAAGTTTGGCTAATTTAGCAGGAATCGGCTGAAATTCAAGGTGTCTATGGCTAGCTTTTCTCTTCTATGACCCCTCTCCCTTCCACAGCCTGCACTGAAGGTCCATGCTGTGCTATAAATCTGAATTACTATTGCTAAAATAGTGTTTCTCAGATAAATATCTTGCAGACAGCATTGCCATAGTCGGAGAATGTCTCACATTTCATACATCTTTTTATGAGATATCTTAATTATATTGACCTAAACTGATATTAATATGTTATTTGTCTCTTCTTTATAGGATCAGCTTTTACAACCTCTGACAACCTATCCCTCACCTCCTGGGTATCCTCCACTTCCGGTTTCCCTAGTTTTCAGCACCCACAAACATTGTCAGCGCTGGGCACTAGCAGCGCTTCTCTGGCCACACCAATTCCGCATCCAATGCAAGGGTCCTTGCCTCCCTACAGTCGACTCAGCATGCCACTCACGCCTTCAGCTCTTGCAAGCACCATGCAAGGTAGCGGGCCCTCATTCCCATCTTTCCACATGCCTAGGTACCATCACTACTTCCAGCAGGGACCTTATGCAGCCATCCAAGGACTGCGCCACTCCTCTGCTGTGATGACTCCATTTGTATAACTGGTACGTTGCACTTGAACACCTAAATAATATATGACTGAAGCAGTGACATCAATTACAGGGTGACCAGTGCAACAATTCTCACATGCCACTATTATAAGGAACCAAGTGAAGGATGAGAAGAAGAGCACTAAACCTATTGATGTGACTTCACAATGTAAGCAGCAATGTATGTAACTTACCACGGAGACAAGCCTATGAACGCTGAAGAAAAAGGAGACATCACATTGAAATGGTTCCTCCACTGTTTGAATACTCCACAATAATTTTGCAAGTTTTGGCACTGACATCTGGCAAATTAGAACTGGCCTCTAGTTGATCTGTAAACAGTGTACAGTTTTGATTGATGTGTTGACTGTTGGTTAGTTTTCCTCCTTATACACTTGATGTTAGGTAAACATTCATTGCTGCTTTAATGTTTTAACTGGAGTGGCTGACAAAAACATATATGGTTTAAATGCAGTACTGTAAATACAGATTTCTGATACATTGCAATAATCGTTAGAAGCATATGTTGCTGCTATTCTCCCATTTCAATACAAATGCTAATTATTTATTATCCGGTTTAGTGCATGTAAAAGCATTGTGTGGATCAGTGAACATCTTAGGGACCAGCATAAAGTGGCAATATTTAACACAGGACGCAGATTTCGTTTTCCCTCCATAAGCCTTTGTAACATCTGTTGATAAATAAATAATTATGGTTTTCTAAAACGTAAACATATAGGATTTCGAAACCGCCTGCACTTCAACGCTGATATTCAGCAATAACAAATGGTGTGTACTTTATATTTGTTTAAGAAATGCTTTTATGTTTGAGGAAAAAAAAACATTAGATTTAAGGGCACAACTTTCACTTTGTGGCAAATAGAACCTTTGGTGTGGCAAATAGAACCTTTGGTGTGGCAAATAGAACCTTTGGTGTGGCAAATAGAACCACTGGTGGAAAGAAATGTGGAGATCTCTGTAGTGATGCAGTAGTATTTTTCAGGTCATTAATGTGGAAAACAGAACAGTATCAAATTAGTTATTTCAGAAGTTAGCTTGGAAGCCCCAGATTTTTCAGAGGAAAACTCTTAAAGGCTAAGTTTATCTTTAAAACCATGTTAGATGTTACACCAATTTTCGGGGTATAACATGGAGCATGGAACATAAACATCACTGCACTTGTAGTCCATTTATTCTTACTCCCGTCCCTGTTACTGAATGTCCATCTTCGAGAAAGAGAATCTGCAATAACCTTACCATTGTACCCACGATTCACTGATTGTGGTTGCAATGCTTAAGTGGCTGCAATGCAAACAAAATTATAAATGCAAATTTTTTTTCTTTTCTGAATGCATTTATTATTATTTTTTAAAAGTGCACTTTGCCTTTAACTTTGCTAACCCACTGCTAATTAGGAGGTCATAAATAAGACATTTTAATTAGAGATATTTATTCTGGTAAAACACCACAGGACAAGAAAAAGATGAAATATTATAGATATACAATGTTCTAATCCTATTTTCATGAATTCTTGTACAATGAAGGATTACAAAGGTGGCTTTGCCACTACCTTATTAAGTTACCACTTTTAATGGCTTCAATCTCTGGTATGAATTGACGTATTTATATTTAAAGATTACTTTGACCGATGCTGATCAACACTTGTGTTTATTTGTTTGTCACCAATATACAGGAAATGATCATAAACAATACATGAATCCTCTATTGCCAGCACTAAAATGTGCAGTCAATATACCAATATATCCAAATGTCAAATGTGATTATAAAAAAACCTATACCAATGGACCTGAACTTTTATGTCAATCTAAGTTCTTAGGGAATCTGTAATAATGATTTTCTCGTTTGACTCCTTTACCTATGTGTTAAGTTTGTTTTTCCAAAAAAGGATGAATGTATCCATATATGTTCTCGCAAAAAGAAAAGACAGATTTAATATAAGAGTTTGGAAAGAGTTCTCATAATAAAAAATGTTAAAAGTCCAATTGTTTATGTGATTAACACAGTCAGCAAAAAGTCATGGTCATGTTAGGGATGGCAGACTGTTCAATATTTATAAAAATATGCAAAAACAAATCAATATCTTATGATTACAATGGCCCCGACTCTAAGCACAGGTTCAACCTCCCTTTATAAGAGGATGAGTGCCACATTTTGAAAAATTAGGATGTGGCCCTATTTTACTTTTAAAAACTGGATTTCACTTTTGCCTATGTTATTTGTTTCCTGTATTACTGTGTCATTTTGTTACCCTTATAATGAGTGTGATCTCTGGAAATAAGTGTAGTCTATACAGATGTATTTTATGGCAGAAAAAAAAATGCAGTTGTAATTGTTAAAAGTTTATGACGTGGCACCTGATGGAAATTTTGTTTTAAGTGCAATATATTTATTTCTGCAGAAATGTTATATCAACGTTATGTAATATTTGAAGCGTTTAAAAATGAATGCTACTC